CTGGGAGGGCGAGGGCGGGCGGTCACCGAGGTCAGGAGATCGAGTATTCATCCTCGGCTAACACAGTAGAACCCGCGTGTCTATTTTTTTTTTTTTTTTTTTTTTTTTTTTTTTTGAGGACGGGAGGTCTGGCCCTCTGTGCGGCCCAGGCTGGGGAGTTAGTGCTGGGATTACAGGCATGAGCCACCGGGCCCAGCCTATTATTATTATTTTCTGAGATGGAGTCTTGCTCTGTCACCCAGGCTGGAATGCGGTGGCGCAATCTTGGCTCACTGTAACCTCCGCCTCCCCAGTTCAAGTGATTCTCCTGCCTCAGCCTCCCGAGTAGCTGTGAATACAGGCGCCTGCCACCAAGCCTGGCTAATTTTTGTATTTTTAGAAGAGAATGGTTTTCGCCATGTTGACCAGGCTGGTCTTGAACTCCTGAGCTGAAGGAGCTCTCCTGCCTCAGCCTCTCGAAGTGCTGGGATTACAGGCATGAGCCACCACACCCCGTCTCATGCAATGCATAATAACACATCAGAGTAAATGGGGTATCCATCCCCTCAAGTATTTACCCTTTGTGTTACAATCTAATTATACCCTTAGTTATTTTAAAATGTACAATTAAATTATAATTGATTATAGTCACCTTGTTGTGCTATCAAATACTAGGGCTTATTTATTCTTTCTAACTATTTTGTGTAACCATTAACCATCCACACCTCCCACAGCCCCCAACTACCTTTCCCAGCCTTTGATAACCATCCTTCTACCCTCTATCTCCATGAATTCATTTAAAAAAAATTTTTCAGATCCCACAAATAAGTGAGAACATGTGATGTTTGTATTTCTGTGCCTTGCTTATTTCACTTAGCATAATGACCTCCAGTTTCATCCATATTGTTGCAGATAACAGGATTCATTCGTTTTTATGGCTCCTTAGTGTATAAGTACCACATTTTCTGTATCCTTCATCTGTTAAAGGACACTTAGGTTGCTTCCAAAGCTTCCTCTTAGGCTCAAGCAATCCTCCCACCTCAGCCTTCTGAGTAGCTGGGACCACAGGTATGCACCATCTCATGTGGATAATTTTTTTTTTTTTTTTTTGAGACGGAGTCTGGCTCTGTTGCCCAGGCTGGAGTGCAGTGGCCGGATCTCAGCTCACTGCAAGCTCCACCTCCCGGGTTTACGCCATTCTCCTGCCTCAGCCTCCCGAGTAGCTGGGACTACAGGCGCCCGCCACCTCGCCCGGCTAAGTTTTCATATTTTTTAGTAGAGACGGGGTTTCACCGTGTCAGCCAGGATGGTCTCGATCTCCTGACCTCGTGATCCGCCCGTCTCGGCCTCCCAAAGTGCTGGGATTACAGGCTTGAGCCACCGCGCCCGGCCAATTTTTTTTTTTTTTTAAATCCCAGGCTGTTTTTTGTTTGTTTGTTTGTTTGTTTTGTGATGGAGTCTCGCTCTGTCACCCAGGCTGAAGTGCAGTGGCGCCATCTCAGCTCATTGCAACCTCCACCTCCCAGGTTCAAGCGATTCTCCTGCCTCAGTCTCCCGAGTAGCTGGGATTACAAGTGCCCGCCAAGACACCTGGCTCATTTTTTGTATTTTTGGTAGGGATGGGGTTTCCCCATGTTGGCCAGGTGGGTCTTGAACTCTTGACCTCCAGTGATCTGCCCGCCTTGGCCTGCCAAAGTGCTGGGATTACAGGCGTGAGTCATCGCACCTGGCCCTCCCAAACTGGTTTTGAACTCCTAGGTTCAAGACTCCTAGGTTCTTGGCCTGCCAAAGTGTTGGGATTACAGGTATGAGCCGCTGCACCCAGCTGCTTCCAAATCTTTGTGAACAGTGCTGCAACAAACACGGACGTGCAGATCTCTCTGATACACTGATTTCCCTTCTTTTGGGTATATACTCAGCAGTGAGATTGCTGGATCATATCGTAGCTCTATTTTTAGTTTTTTAAGAAACCTCTAAAATGTTCTCCATAGTGGTTGCACTAATTTACATTCCCACCAACAGTGTTTGAGGGTTCCCTTTTCTCCACATCCTCACCAGCATTTGTTATTGCCAATCTTTTGGATATAAGCCATTTTAACTGGGGTGAGATGATATCTCATTGTAGCTTTGATTTGCATTTCTCTGATGATCCGTGATGTTGAGCACCTTTTCATATGCCTGTTTTCCATTTGTATGTCTTCTTTTGAGAAATGTCTATTCAAATGTTTTGCCTGTTTTCACTGGATTATATTTTTTCCCATAGAGTTGTTTGACCTCCTTATATATTCTGGTTATTAATCCCTTGTAAGAGAGGTAGTTTGCAAATATTTTTTTCCCATTCTGTGGATTATCTCTTCACTTTATTGATTATTTCCTATGCTGTACAGAGGCTTTTTAACTAGATGTGATCCCATTTGTCCATTTTTACTTTGGTTGCCTGTGCTTGTGGGGTATTACTCAAGAAATTTTACCCAGATCAATGTCCTGGAGAGTTTCTCTGGTGTTTTCTTGTAGTCGTTTCATATCTCAAGGTCTTAGATTTAAGTCTTTAATTCATTTTGATTTAATTTTTGTATATGGTGAGAGATAGGGGTCTATGGATATCCTGCATATGGATATCCTGTTTTCCCAGCACCATTTATTGAAGAAACTGTCTTTTCCCCAGTATGTGTTCTTGGCACCTTTGTTGACAGTGAGTTCACTGTAGGTGTTTGGATTTGTTTCTGAGTCCTCTATTCTGTTCCATTGGTCTATATGTCTGTTTTTATGCCAGTACCATGCTGTTTTGGTTACTATAGCTCTGTAACAAAATTTGAAGTAAGATAATGTGATTCCTTCAGTTTTGTTCTTTTTGCTTAGTATAGCTTTGGCTATTCTGGGTCTTTTGTGGTTCCATATAAATTTTATGATTTTTTTTCCATTTCTGTAAAGAATGTTACTGATATTTTGATAGTGATTACATTGAATCTATAGATTGCTTTCAGTACTATGGACATTTTAACAATATTGATTCTTCCAATTCATGAACATGGAGTATCTTTCCATTTTTTTGTGTCCTCTTCAATTTATTTTGTGTTTTATGGTTTTCAATATAGATATTTTTTTCTTTGGTTAAGCTAATTCCTAGGTATTTGATTTTATTTGTAGCTGTTGTAAATGGGATTACTTTATTTCTTTTCCAGACTGTTCAGAAATTAGTCTTGACTCAAACATCTCACCCTGCCTAACATTAACATTCTCTATAGCAAATGTCTATTTTGTTGTTGTTAACAACTTACCTGAAAAATTAGCAACAGACATCTTTGTCTAATCACTGTGGTTGTAGGAAAATCCAGGTTCTTTTCACATGAACAGGAAAGATTAGGCTCGCAGAAACTTTGAGGGGCAAGGAGGATGGAATTTATTGGGGAAAAAGGAAAAACAACACAGCAAAGCAAGAGAGGGATTCCTGTTAACAGGTCCTCATCTCACAGATTGAATCCCAGGTTCCTCACAGGAACAGGAGGGGCCAGGCTCCTCCCCACTGCAAACAGCGTGAACTTCCATGGCTCCACCCCATTCTCCCAGTGCACAGGTCAGTTAGAGGTTCTCTGGGAACTCCTTTATACTTGGCTGTCTCATTTCCCCATCTAAAGAAGTACATCTAACTGCCCTTAGAGTGAGGCTAAGGACAAAGACCAATCTTAACTGCTTCCTGCTGGCAGGGGTGCTGTTTTGGGAAGATGGCAGTCAGATCTCCCTCAGAGGCCTATCTTAGGGTCCCCTGCAGAAGGGGCCATCATCCAAGGCTCTGGTTGCATGTCTGTTTGGAGTTTGATGACCTGAAGCTGAGAAGAGACAAACTGGGTTATTAGAAAACATGTGTCAAAACTAAAACAAGGGTAAGGACAGGTGAAAAATCCTGAGACCCTTTACCAGTTTGCATGGGGGAGGGAGGCCAAAAGCCCAGCTGGTAAAAACACTTTTACCCTTTTGCTGGCATGTCAGGCTTCTGGGTTCCCTTCCCCTGGGCCCAATCCTAAGTCAGCCACTTTAAAGTTCGGGAAATTAACTCTTTCTCAGTTTGGAGGATGTATCTGAGGGGAGTATCCCATCGTGTGGAGACACAATTACCTATTTGTAAAGAGAGAACAGGGGAGGAAAAAGAAAAAAAAGTGTTTTTTCAAAGGAGTCCCAGGAGTTCAAGATGCACTCAAAAGAAATACAAACTAGGCCGGGCGCGGTGGCTCAAGCCTGTAATCCCAGCACTTTGGGAGGCCGAGGCGGGTGGATCACGAGGTCAGGAGATCGAGACTGTCCTGGCTAACATGGTGAAACCCCGTCTCTACTAAAAATACAAAAAACTAGCCGGGCGTGGTGGCGGGCGCCTGTAGTCTCAGCTACTTGGGAGGCTGAGGCGGGAGAATGGCGTGAACCCGGGAGGCGGAGCTTGCAGTGAGCCGAGATCACGCCACTGCACTCCAGCCTGGGAGGCACAGCGAGACTCTGTCTCAAAAAAAAAAAAAAAAAAAAAAAAAGAAATACAAACTAAAGGTGAATGGCTACTCATCCAGAAAGAGGGAAGCAGGCACCCCTGGTACCTTTCTCTTCCTAGCAAATACCTGGGGTATGTGAGGGAGGGAAAGTGAGGCATTCCTTTTTCTTTCCACCATCCTTGTGTCCCTGAGTTCTGGTGACTGCAACAGCATGCCACCCATGGGTGTTAAAGAGGCTTTCGCCCATGTTAACTAGGGGGGCTGGGGGTGGGAATTATTCACTCTACCCACATATGCCTTATCTCCCCTGCTGTCAGTAGCCTTGAATTCCCTAGACTTCCTTTATGCCATGGATACTAGCATGACTTTTATTCATGAAACAGGAAGCTTGGCTTAACCGGCAGGAGTCAGCCACACTCACCTGTGCCGCGCCTTTTAACTTCCATTGTCATCTTCCTCTGGATCCCTCAGATCCAGTCTTCTTTCCTAGGGCTTTGACCCGAAGCTTGGAATTGAGTTTGAGACAAAAATGTGTCTTGGAGGGAGTTGCACGGACTCTTTATCGTGAGCCAAATGCTAAAGTGAAGCTGTGGAATTGAGTCCTCCTGTAACAAGGGAGAGAAAAGATGTCTTGTGACACACCCAGATAACTGGAGGCTATAGTTATGCCTGCTAGGATTTGGGTGCATGGTGCTTGTCTTTGGTTAGCTCCCTTGGTCTTGCTTTCCAAAAAGGAAACCTCCGGGTGATGGGCGCCCTATTTATTCTCATTGCCGGGCGGGATTTGATGTGTAATTGCTCAGAACTAGAATATTGATTCAGATTTCTACATTACTCATCCCTTTTGTTCTTTCTGAGTTGTAGCTGGAGATTGCTGGTTGGTTCACAGGAACAAGCAGGGTTAGTCTAAAATGTAGGCAAAGACTTAAATACAACTAATGAGTTTAGAATTTAATGACAAATGAAGCTGGGCGCAGTGGCTCACGCCTGTAATCCCAGCACTTTGGGAGGCCAAGGTGGGTGGATCATGAGGTCAAGTTATCCAGACCATCCTGGCCAACATGGTGAAACCCCGTCTCTACTAAAAATACAAAAATTAGCTGTGGTGGTGCACACCTGTAGTTCCAGCTACTCAGGAGGCTGAGGCAGGAGGATTGCTTGAACCCTGGGGGCAGAGGTTGCAGTGAGCCGAGATCGTGCCACTGCGCTCCAGCCTGGCAACAGAGCAAGACTCCGTCTCAAAAAACAAATAAAACAAACAAACAAAAATAATTTAATGACATATGTATACGTTTTGAAACATAATTTCTTTCTTAGCAGTCCTCATTTTTTTTTTTTCAAATTTTCTTTTGTTACCAGTTCTCATTTTTGTTGAAAAATCATGATAGGACTGAGTTGTTTGCAAAATAGACTTTAGTCTTATAGTTGGCCTAATTAGTTGCATACAGTGCAGCAAGAATAACTATTTCTACATAGGCCTTTTACATTGGCTTTGATGCAACTCTGTTTCACAAGGACTCTTAGAGAAGACCTTTTAAAGCTCAGTCCAGCCAAGGGTTTTTATCCTCAAATACCTGTGAGTTGGGTGATCCTCTTCTCTTAAGGTCCCAAGATAAACTTGGAACTCCTGGGCCAGTTAGAAAGTGACATTCTTGGCCGGGCGCGGTGGCTCACGCTTGTAATCCCAGCACTTTGGGAGGCCGAGGCGGGCGGATCACAAGGTCAGGAGATTGAGACCATCCCTGGCTGACATGGTGAAACCCCGTCTCTACCAAAAATACAAAAAAAAAATTAGCCGGGTGTGGTGCCACATGCCTGTAGTCCCAGCTACTCAGGAGGCTGAGGCAGGAGAATAGCTTGAACCTGGGAGATGGAGGTTGCAGTGAGCCAAGATCATGTCACTGCACTCCAGTCTGGGCAACAGAGCGAGACTCTGTCTCAAAAAAAAAAAAAAAAAAAGTGGCATTCTTTACTGACCACAGGTCAGGAATCCTGCACAGGGACTGTGTAGGCAAGGGTATGAAACCAGTTTTTTCCCCAGGGGGATTTTTTTGGCTCTGCAACTCGAGCTTGACTGCTTAAAGGGAAGCATACCCTTGCATTCAAAGCCTTGGTAAAACAACCAGTTTCTCCAATTGCATCCTGTTGCAAAAGAAAATGGATTCTTACTGCACTGATGCAAACAACTATATTACCACAAGTTAAAAACACTCACAGAGGTCGGGTGCAGTGGCTCACGCCTGTAATTCCAGCACTTTGGGAGGCCGAGGTGAGCGGATCACCTGAGGTCAAAGGTTCGAGACCAGCCTGGCCAACATGGTGAAACCCCGTCTCTACTAAAAATATAAAAATTAGCCAGGCGTGGTGGCAGGCGCCTGTAGTCCCAGCTACTCAGGAGGCTGAGGCAGGAGAATCGCTTGAACCCGGGAGGCAGAGGTTACAGTGAGCCGAGATCATGACATTGCACTTGTGCCTGGGGGACAAGAATGAGACTTCATCTCAAAAAACAAACAAAAAAGAATACTCACAGATAGTTTCCAAATTCCAGAGGAACAAGGCAGAGAGAAACAAAAAACATGCTCTAGATTTTGGTCACAAGAGTATACCTTATTCAATTTATGAAAGGCCATAAATAGTTCAAAATAAGTTTCCTTGACTCCGAAAAACAAAACAAGGATCAGCAATATTCCAAGCAAAAGTTAAAAAGTTTGCTTCAGTTTCTTGAGTACATTCATTGAACTCTTGTTTTACTTGATATTTATGAACATTTTAGCTCTTCATGAATCTTGTATGTTTTTCCTTTATTCCAATGTCACAATCTCCAAAGTTATCAGAAACCTGTATTTGAGAGTACCTGTCAAAGTTCTATAGCTTATTATAAACCATGTTTTGAAAAGGATTAAAACAAAACAACAATTATCTGTGAATAACAAAATGTTCAGGGTAGTTACACTTAGAAGCACAATTGACAAAGAAGTTTGATTATCTCCATGGTTTACAAAACTTAATTATGATTGAGAGCATATACTCAGACATTAGAATTTTAGAAATTCCCTACAATTTCGGAATATGTATTATTCACCAAAATATAACCTAAAGAAGATTGAACATAGTCCCATGTACCTAAATGTTTCAAATAATCCTGTTTACCTCTCTTTTCTGGACACTGCAGGGGCCCTTCTGAAGTATTTGAAAAGCCAGGTGTCAGGAAAGACAATTGTGAAACTGAAGTTTGATTTTGGTCTCAGACTCCTGACCTCAGGTGATTCACGCCTGCCTCAGCCTCCCAAACTGCTGGGATTACAGGCGTGAGCCACTGGGCCTGGCCTTATTTTTATTTATTTATTATTTATTTTTGAGACAGAGTCTCACTCTGTCACCCAGGCTGGAGTGCAGAGGTGCAATCTCAGCTCACTGCAACCTCCACCTCCTGGGTTCAAGTGATTCTCCTGCCACAGCCTCCTGAGTAGCTGGGACTACAGGCCCCTGCCACCACATCCAGCTAATTTTTGAATTTTTAGTACAGATGGGTTTTTACCATGTTGGCTTGGATGGTCTCATCTCCTGACCTTGTGATCCACCCACCTTGGCCTCCCAAAGTGTTGGGATTACAGGCGTGAGCCATTGCACCCAGCTATTTATTTTTTTTGAGATGGAGTCTCACTGTCACCCAGGCTGGAGTGTAGTAGTACAGTCTCAGCTCACTGCAGCCTCCAACTCCTGGGGTCAAGGGGTTCTCTTGCCTCAGCCTCCCCAGTAGCTGGGATTACAGGCAGCTGCCACCACTCCCGGCTAATTTTTGTATTTTTAGTACAGATGGGGTTTCACTGTGTTGGCTAATCTGGTCTTGAACTCCTGACCTTAAGTGATCCACCTGCCTTGGCCTTCCAAAGTGCTGGGATTACAGGTGACTGCCACCACGCCCAGCCTAAAATATATTTCAAAATATATTTATCTGAGTTCCTCAAAGGTAGAGTCCATGTCTTTTGTCCCCAGAACCTAGTGCAAAGTCTTGTATCTCATAGTTACTCAGTGAATGTTAATTTAATGGATGAATCGGTCACACTAGCAATTGCAAAGTTTTTCTCAGGCCCTAACCTTGGCTGCAAGGAGTTTGTAGAGATCTCCCCTCCCCACACCCTCCATTTACGATGTCATCAGACTGTGGTAAGCCATTCAATGAGTGCTTAGCATGAATCCGACACAGTGTTAATTACCTGTAATTCTCAAAATGTCCTTAAGAGGTGGCTACTAATATGTCCTCATTTCACACTTAACCTTAATCCCAGCTATTCGATTACAATCCTGGTTACCAGACCTGGCTCACGTCACCTAGCTAATAACGGAAGAGCCCACATGTGTTTGCCATAGGAATTGGCATTTTCATGTCCAGCTCTCTAGCCCCAAAGATTTCAACCTCTTCGAGCCGTAACAGATTGGAATAAGAATCCTCTCCAGGAATCTCTCCCAATATGCTGGAACCTAAAAGGAAATAAAAACCCCTACTCTGATCAGCGTAGACTGGGCCATGGTGAAAAGGAATGGATGATGTTCCAGGTGTGAGGAAGTGCAGCTTTTTAGCCTGCCAGTTATTTTTCAGTCAGCCAGTTGCAGGAAATGAGGCACACTGCTTTCCATAACTGACTTGTCTAGCAACTTTCTGAACAAGTCACACCTCCCTGACCTGTTTTTTTTTTTTTTTGATGGAGTCTCGCTCTGTTGCCCAGGCTGGAGTGCAGTGGCGAGATCGTGCTCCCTGCAACACTTCCTGGGTTCAAGTGATTCTCCTGCCTTAGCCTCCTGAGTAGCTGGGATTACAGGCGCCTGCCACCACGCCTGGCTAATTTTCTTATTTTTAGTAGAGACGGGGTTTCACCATGTTGGCCAGGCTGGAACTTTGGCCTATTTATTTTATTTATTTATTATTTATTTATTTTTGAGACAGAGTCTTGCTCTGTTGCCCAGGTTGGAGTGCAGTGGCCAGCTCTCGGCTCACTGCAACTTCTGCCTCCCGGGTTCAAATATTCTCTTGCCTCACCGAGTAGCTGGGATTATAGGCGCCCGCCACCACGCCCGGCTACTTTTTGTATTTTTTAGTAGAGACGGGGTTTCACCATCTTGGCCAGGCTGGTCTCGAACTCTTGACCTCGTGATCCACCAGCCTAGGCCTCCCAAAGTGCTGGGATTACAGGCGTGAGCCACCGCGCCTGGCCCCTTTGCTTATTTTTCTAAGAAACAGACTAACACCGATCTCACTAGTAGCATTGTTAAGATTAAACAAGATAGCTAATAGCTTTAAAGGGTCTAATCACAGTACCCCTACATGTAGTAGTCACTCAGCAAATCATAGCCAGGAGCGGACGAAAAGCGCTGGGAGCATTAAACCAGCCAGATTTGGAGTCTGGGTAGGGCCTAAGACGATGGCATCAGCGGATTGGGCCAGCCAAAGGGGGCGGGTTCAGAGGGAGGAGCCAGCCGCCTTCCGCTGCAGCCCAGAGCTTTGAATCAAGCGCGGTAGTTTCAGCTGTAGCCAATCCTAGAACAAAATCTTCTTGCGTCAGTTGTTGCTGAGGCCCAGATCTCACCCAGATCAGTTCTAGTCGCTGCTGCTAGTACCCGTCCTCGGCTCTTGCGTGTCCGTCCGTTACGACTCAGAGGACGGAGAGAAAGTCTAAGTCACCTTCCTCAGTATCCAGGCCGGAAGGAGACTCTCGGCTACTCGCCCTAAACATGGAGAGCAGCACTGGCTTCCCTGTCTCTGGATGCCGCAGGGGCGTCCTGTCAGGAGTTGTAGTGGCAAGATTCCAGTTCTTATGCGACTTGGTGGAGAAGCAGGAAGTTGCTGTTTATCGGACAAGGCGGGCTAGGGAGGGAAACAACCCCGCGGAGCCATATGGAGAGGGCAGGAGGTGTCCTTAGTTAATGGTAGGCCTGCGGCGGACGGTGGGGCGGTGTTGAGTCCTGGCCCTTTAAACCCGAGGGGGAGGACCCGGAAGTGGATGGGCGGGGCGAAGGGCCCTCGTATATAAGAGGGCCCCAGCCGCGCGGGGTCTCTAATCTGCCATTTTCTGTCCCCGAGTGAGTCTCTGGTGTCGCAAATTGCCTGTTTTTCTCACAGGCTCTATTCCGTTCGCTGGTTCGCCACCTCAGGGGAACGATGGCCACTGAGTCCACAGCTACTGCCGCCGTCGCCGCGGAGCTGGTTTCTGCCAACAAGTAAGCGGGACTGGAAAGCTTGAGGCACTGGCCAGTCCGCGGGGAGGGCAAATGGACGGGGGCTCCGGAGAAGGGACAGACCGGTGGGCGGGCGTACTTGCCTTCCCGGGAGCAGCTGTCGCTGTTCGGGAAGGCCCGGTCACTGGAGCAGTCCTCCTCTGGCTTGAGAGCCTCGCGCACCAGCGGTAACGGCGGTCGGCTGGCGCCCCCTGCCCCGCTTTTTGCGTCCGCCATCTTGCCGGGGGCAGCGGCGGCTGTATCCATCGCCTGCCCCTCTCCTTCCTCCCCCGGCCCGGGGCGGTTGGCCGGGAGGCGGGGCCCTGGCGCACGAGTTGGCCTTCACTCCCTTTCTGTCCCCAGCGTGTGCCTCGGGTAGAGTCCCTGGATAACCCGGGAATATAACCAACGGAGATTTGGCGCCAAAAGAAAAAAAAAAAACCCTGCACGAGGAAGGAGGCTGGACCTGAGGGGTCGGGGTGGGCGGGGCCTTGCTGAGGGCGGGGTTTTGCGCGCGAGCGTTCGCTTCCCTTGCCGGCTCTGGAGCAGGGGGCGGGGCCTTGAGGAGGCGGGAAAACTCTATTGTTTGGGGCCGCTGCGGCTCCAGCGGGAGCGTTTGGACTATTCTGTGGGACCGGTGAGGCTAGTTCCGCCCCTCACGCCTCGCTCACGTCTTGTGCTGGGAGATAGTTATCGCTCCCCTCGACTCCGTGAGCCCCTGCCTGTGGTGGGGAGGATTGTAGTTCTTTAGACTTCGGAGGTGTTGCCTTGTTCGGGGGAACATTATCCGGACGCAAAGCGTCTTCTGGAAGCGCCGTCTGGAGCTTTCACCAGCACTGTTTGGTTGCTGGGTGAATCGGCAGTAGTGTGCACGAAGTGGAGAAGGGCTGGAGGGAAACAAGATAGGATTGCTTTGAAAGCAGCACAGTGCCACTCAGGCGTAATCTATTTTTTGAACAGTGGAGGGAAACACTACATGAGTTCAAGGAAACAAGTGCTGTTTCCCATACAGTAGGTCTGATTTCCCAATCTTGCCTTATTTTTTTAGTGATCTGGTTCTGTTTTTTTTTCTTTTTCTAATCTTGTGCGCTTTAGAGGTTAGCTGCCTTCCCTGTGAACGGAATGGTTGCTGTGAAGTTTTTTAAATTGATATTCTATAGGCTTACACTCTGTCATGATTGTGTCTTAGTTTGCTTATAGTTAGAGATTTACTTACATCTTTGCTTACCAGCTTTTGTTTTCTCTGCATTCTTGTAGAGCAGTGGTTCTCAAGTCACCCTGACAATCATCTGGGAACTCATGGGAAATATAATTTTAATTTCAAACTCCCATTACCTGCCTCTTTCCCCATTGATTCGATATGAGCAGTATAAATTGGGCTTGAGAGTCGTACTATAGCTGTTATAAAAAGAGCTCCTTTTTATAATGTTTCCTGGATAGCTCTGGCAGTCAGTATTTCACTGACAGGTGTGTGTTTTTGTTTTGTTTTTGCAGACAGGGTCTGGCTCTCACATCCAGGCTAGAGTGCAGTGTTGTGGTCATAGCTCACTGCAACCTCGAACTCCTGGGCTCAAGTGATCCTCCCTAGTAGCTTGGGACTACAGTCGCCACGCCTGGCTAAGTTTTTGTAGATACAGGGTCTTGATGTTGCCCAGGCTGGTCTCAGACTCTTGGGCTCAAGCAGTCCTCCCGCCTTGGTCTCCCAAGGTGTTGGGGTTACAGGTGTGAGCCACTGCGCAGGACCAGGTGTGTGTATGTGTTTTTTTATTTTTATTTTTATTTTTTTGAGATAAAAGTATGCAACAAATATCTCTTGCAGGTCCCCTGTGTCTTGCCAGAGTTAGGTCATTAGTGAACTTAGTCTCAGCTTCCTGGCAGGTTATACGTACAGAAAGTTTATATGTGGCTACCAGAAAGCAAACCATTTAAGTAGTTCCTCACACCATAAATTGAAAGCTAAAACTGAGCTATTATATGTGCTGGGTGTGTGTGTGTGTGTGTGTGTGTGTGTGGTAGGGGGCAGGGTCTCTGTCACCCAGGCTGGAGTGCAGTGATGCCAGCCCACTGCACCCTCTACCTCCTGGGCTCAAGTGATTCTCCCACCTCAGCCTCCTGAGCAGCTGGGATTACAGGCGCACACCACAAGACCCAGCTGATTCTAGTATTTATTTTATAGAGACGGGTTTCACCATGTTGCCCAAGCTGGTCTCCCAACTCCTAGGCTCAAGGGATCCACCCACCTGGGCCTCTGAAAGTGCTGAGGTTACCGGCGTGAGCCACCAAGCCTGGCTGGTATTTTCATTTCATTCCCTGGTTTCCCCATCTAATTAGTGTGAAAGAACAATGAAAGCATGTGCCTCAGTTAAGTAAGTTAGTGGGGACATTTAGAAGTAAAGTTTATAAGGTCCTCATGTTTAAGGGTAGGTTAAAGAAAATGACTTGAATTTAGATTTTAGGTAAGAATGTACATTATACTTCGAGGATAAACATTGAAAGAATAAATATAACTTCCGAACCAGTAGAAAGAAAGAAAAATGGAATGAGAAATAAACCTCAGTTCAGGTTTTTTAAATTTAGGAAATGGGGATCTTACTGTGTTGCCCAGGCTGGATTCCCAACTCCTAGTCTCAAGCAATCCTTCCACCTCAGCCTTCTGGGTAGCTGGGACTACAGGTATGCATCACCTCACCTGGCTTACAGTTGGCTTTGATACTAGCTTCATTGCTTCAGTAGTGATCTTGGACCACAGTTTTGTCATCTGCAAAAAGTCTTAGGTTGGCTTTTGTCCCCTCATGCCATTAAAACGGTATTGTTTAAGGTGATGTATATCTAAATGTTAAATTAATCCTGTCATTCTTAGCTTTCTAACTAGTTCTCGGTTTTTTTTTCTTTTTTTTTTTTTTTTTTTTTTTTGAGAGGGAGTTTTGTCACCTAGGGTGGAGTGCAGTGGCATAATCTCCGCTCACTGCAACTTCCGCCTCCCAGGTTGAAGCAATTCTCCTGCCTCAGACCCCCAAGTAGCTGGGACTGCAGGTGTGCAACACCACACCTGGCTAATTTTTTGGGGTTTTGCCATGTTGACCAGGGTGGTCTCGAACTACTGACCTCAGGTGATCCGCCCATCTCGGTGTGAGCCACTGTGCCTGGCCACAGTTATGATTTAATACTGCATCTTTGTTCATTTACATATCTCAACTGTGGATGGTGCCGTGTATGGTCTGTGTATTTTGACGAATTTTAACATTTTATAATTTGTGTGCATTTTATGGTAGTAAATAAGATAGACTAGTACCTACATATATTTTATGCATTGATTACATACATTTTGTTAATTATTCAACATTTCTAGGCCATGAGGTTTGTCTTGAGTTTTTTCTTTTTTATGTATCTATATATAATTTATTTATTTTTTATTTTTGGTTTTTTTGAGAAAGAGTCTTGTTCTGTTGCCCAAGCTGGAGTGTAGTGGCCTGATCTTGGCTTACTGCAACTTCTGCCTCCCAGGCGCAAGCGATTCTTGTGCATCAGCCTCCCAAGTAGCTGAGACGACAGTTTACAAAAATTAGCGTGGTGGGCGCCTGTAATGGCTTGAAACCGGGAGGCGGAGGTTGTAGTGACTCGAGATTGTGCCACTGCACTCTAGCCTTAGAGCAAGACTCCATCTCAAAAAAAAAAAAAAAGGCCAGGTGCTGTGGCTCAAACGCTGGTAATCCCAACACTGTGGGAAGCCAACGCGGGTGAATCACTTGAAGCCAGGAGTTCAAGACCAGCCTGACTGACATGGCAAAACCCCGTCTCTACTAAAAAATACAAAAATAAGCCAGACGTGGTTGCGCATGACTGTAGTCATACCAAGCCTCACTCTGTTGCCCAGGCTGGAGTGCACTGGCGAGATCTTGGCTCACCACAGCCTCCACTTCCAGGGTTCAAGTGATTCTCCTGCCTCAGTCTCCTGAGTAGCTGGGATTACAGGTGCCTGCCACCATACCTGGCTAATTTTTGTATTTTTAGTAGAGATGAGGTTTCACCATGTTGGCCAGGCTGGTCTCCAACTCCTGACCTCAGGTGATCCACCTACCTTGGCCTCCCAAAGTTCTGGGATTATAGGCGTGAGCCACCATGCCCAGCCTACACTTCTTTTGTTTTAAATTAATTTTTTGAAATAGAGAAAGGGTCTCATTTTGTTGCTTAGCCTGGTCTTGAACTCCTAGCCTCAAACAGTCCTTTTGCCTTCCACAATGCAGGGATTATAGCCATGAGCTACCCTGCCTAGCCTTGAATTTCTGTTAGCTATGTATGGGAGCACCAATTTCTCCTTAACCCTATCTTTGACTATTTGATGGGTAAAGCATTCTTTTTTTTTTTTTTTTTTTGTGGGGGCCTGTCATGCTTGAACGGAGGCGGAGAGTTTAGTGACTCGAATTGTGCAACACAACACTCCATCAACCCGTCTTCATCAAAACACAGGTCCAACACGGATAGGAACAGCGGGGGTGATCACTTGACAGGAGTATCAGACCACCTACTGAACATAGACACAGTCTTATCAAAATCAAATAAGCCCAGAACGTGATTTCACATACTACATACCAGCTAAAACACACATGTGCCCAGGCTGGAGTGCACTGGCGAAATCTTGGCTCACCACAGCCCTCCACCTATCCCCAGGGTCAATGTGATTACACACTGCCTCAGTCTCCATGAGTAGCTGGGAATTGACAGGTGCCTGCCACCATACCATGGTAGTAGAGACACATTGGCCAAGGCTGGTCTCCAAACTACACATGACACAAGATACACAACCTACCTTATGGTCACAATATCTGAAAAACACAACACACACAGCCCAGCCTACCACTATTTGTTATTAAATTAATTTTTTACAAAATCTCATTTTGACATACACAAAATTCTATGACTCCTAGCCTCAAACAGTCCTTTTTGCCTTCAAATGCAGGATTATAGCATAGAACACACACACACACTTGGGAAACATTAGCTAGAAAGACCAATTTCTCCTTGAACCCTTATCATTGACTAAACATAACATTAATACACACGACACACAACACAAAACACACGCAACACAACACACTGGGCAAGCCTGGCCAAACCCAAGTACACACAAACACTGCTCAGCACACACTGGGACTAAACAGGCGCCCCTGCCACTAACAAGACAGCACACCTGGACACATAATATTTTAGAGACGACACACAAGGACACAACACACATTGTGATCCCGCGCACACCCTTGGCTCCCAAAGTGCTAGACAGGCGTACACACAAAAAAAACCAGGCGTGGGTAATACTACACATTTACTACAACATTTTTTTATTTAGAACACAGACACACACAACAAAAGCGATCTCGGCTCACTCTAAAACAACATGTATACACACACATACTCTGCTCAAGCCTCCAGTACTGGACACAAGGCCCCCCCAAACACAACTAGTATATATATAATTTTAGACAAGATTTCACACACAAGCATCAAGTCTACGAAGATTTCACCTAACACATCATTAACACACAGCACAGCACCCAAGTGGTTAAAGGCTATAGCCACCACCAGGACACACAGACTCTAGAATGAGGACCCAAAGACACAGGGATGGTTCACCTGTACATTTGGGGCCGAGGTGGGCGGACTCACGAGGATGGAGGAGATCGACATCTGACATACACACACACACATTACAAAAATACCAAAAAAATTTACCGACAGTGGGGGGCGCCTTGAACCAGCACAGAACTACATGGCGTGACCACAAAGCCTACAGAGAGACAAACAACACACAACACAACACCAAGTGTGACGAATTCGTCTCAAAAAAAAAAAATGACACAAACATGTTTTTTAATCCCATTCAATCTATTATATGAATCTTTTATACACAAACAAACATATTTGTTTCTTCTGTTTTTGTTTTTTTTTGAGACGGAGTTCGCCTGGGGGTTGATGGTGGGGGTTCTCAGCTCACGCAAAGCTCCGCCTCGGTACGCATTCTCTGTCTGCGTCGAGTAGTTGGGACTACGGCCCCGAGCGCCGGCTAGTTTTTTGTATTTTAGTAGAGACGGGGTTTCACCGATGTTCACCAG